AATTTTCTTGACTAAAGATATTTTCTATTTTTTAATAAAGTATTTGTTTTAAAAATAAGTTGAAGTTTTCAAATTTAATAAAGTAAAAGCTTTGTAATTTTTTAATCTTAAATAAACATCTATTATAAAGCAAAATAAGAAATTTGAAAAAAAAAAATAAGACCTTTATTAGGTATTGTATAAGATTTCAGCTACATGATTCTTATTATAATTGGATTAACTTGTTTATTGACATATTATCTTTTTTGGCAACCATACTTCTCATTTTGTGATTGCATCTATTTTTTAGGCAATATTAAGTAGTGTGCGTAGGTTTTCTATGATACAAGTAAATTTCTTGTAGAAACCTTCAAAATTTTGATCTTGTTTCATTAAACTTCTTTAGCAAAGTGATCTTTATTTTTGTTATAATTCTAATAATAAGACTTCATACATTCAATTATGAGATTGATCTACTTGCTTCTCTTAAGTACAAAATTTCTTGGCATAGATGCTAAACTTCATTATTGACTTCTTTAATAGGCAAAGGAATAATACATCCATGATTGATGTTGAAAATATAAGAAATTTTTACCTTAAGAGTGTTAACAACTTTGTGAAGATTTGTAATAGTTGTAAATTTATTTTCACTTTTGTTGAGTACAACATCCATGATTTTTACATCTATCTCTTCTAAATACAACAAAAAAAGTAAGATACACTTTTCACTTCTAAAACAAAACAAGAGTAATGAAATAACATTCATATCAAACTGCCAAAGATAAAACATACAAAAAATCAAAAGATCAATGTATACTTGTGATATTAGAAAAGAAAAGATAATTACTCTAAGTTATTATAATATTAAACCTAAATGACTATTTCAAAAGATAAAAGAATTAGAAATATTTAAAATAATATTAAAGACAAAAAGGATATTGACAAGAGTAAAGAAAGCTATATCAATGAAGCTTCTAAAAAGCTAATCTATAAGATATTATTTAATATACCTATATATATATATATATATATATATATATATATGATACATAGAGCATTATAGTTTTAATAATGCTTTTCTTAGAATGAAAATCAAAAAATTATTGAACAATATTTTGACAAATCAATAATCACTATTACAAATGAATAGAGAATTTTTAAATTTTTGTAAGAATCATTAACTATATATAAATATATATATATATATATATATATATATATTAGCCTTAAATCTTAAAATTAATATATTAAAGTATATAATTTATTCATAATATAAAAATAATTCTAAACCTCTTTAGAAATTTAACTTTGGCTATCCTTGGATTGTACTTCAAATCATAAACATACTTCTAAGCATAATTTTTGGACTAATCTATATATATATATAATATTTTTAGATAGAATAAATAAAAAATTAAAATTATTGTGCTCTATTAAATTAAATGTGATAGGTAGAATTATAATTGCCAATATTATCCTTCTATCATGCTTATAGTTTTTGATTTTAAAATAGATTGACTCTTTATAGAATATATAAAATATAAAAGCACTAGTAAAAAACTTTCTATAGAGAAATATATCTTCTTTAATAAGAACTAAGATAGCATTGTATAAGTTTTTCAAAAGTTGAGAGATGAGTGGCCTTATACTAATTGACCTCAAAAAGCCACCAAAGCCTTCTTTATAAAATAGTTGATAAAGACTTTATAACCTAATTTATTTGTTATAAAATAACAAATTCTATTTCAAAAGTCTAAAGAGCGTGTCTTCCAAATTGAACTTAGGTTCTTCTTTTAAATCACAAGTAGTATGTAGACTCAAAAGTCTAAAATAAGATTAGAAAAGTTTTTAAAAAAATAAATTTTAATATCAAGCATAATCTTTTATTATTACTATATAAAGATAAAAATAGATTTTTATGATATGATCCAAAAAAATCTTATTAATTGACATATTTAATTTTTTGAAATTAAATTTTATTATTTAAATAAAATTTAAATAATTTAAGATCTATTCAAGGAGTGATACCAAACTATATCTATTAAAGAAGTGATACCAAAATATAGTATAGAGGCACCAAACTATTGATGCTTATAGAAGAAAATCCATTGTTATTTCTTCAAGCTTTTAAAGAATTTATTTTTAAAAAGCAAAGTCTATCCACAGAAAAAATTTAGATTGAAATATACTCCTTAGAAATGAATCATTAACCTTTAATTTTTTTTCTTCTATTCTTATTCTCTTATAAAAAGAAGGAAGAAGATAAGTACTTTATTCTACTTTTAAGAATTTTTTATTTTTTTCATATAGATTTACAATGTAAAATTCTATAATATGATGATGCTTTGTTTTCTAACCAAGCAAATTTATAACCTCAAGATAATGGCACTTAAGAAGTTAGATTCCTAAAAATTACAATAACAATGTCATATTAAGTATTGTCTTTTTTGGAAATGTACCAAGCATTTGACTAGGAAAGATAAACTTCTAATTTATAACTAAATAAGAACCTTAAAATCCTAATAAAATTCTCAATAAATCATAAAAATATCTTTAAAATATTTTAGGTATATTCTAATTAAATACTAATAAAATCATAAGTAAATCTTGATTTTTTTGATTAAATCCTAAAGATATCCTCATCAAATCCTATAGTGAGATAAAATCCTAATAAATATTAATTTAAGAATGAATCTTGATTCTAAATTTGAAAGTCTTTCAATCTACTCACTTATAAAAATAATCAATGATAATTTAAATTATAAATTGGAAAAAAAAACAAAAAAAAAAAAAAAAAAAAAAAAAAAAAACCTATTCTCCTTAAGTATCAATTGTATTCCTTCTCAAACCTTATCAATCTTTTAGCATTCATAGTTCATTTCTTTTATCATTATTTTTCTTTAAGGACTTAGATAAATATTAAAAATTAAGTTAATTATTAGCTTATAAAAGAATAATTTTAATCTAAGTGAAAATTTTATCAAAATTATAGAAATCCTCTTTGATCTTTAAAATCCAATTTTCAAGATTTCAACCTACTTAGATTTTAATAAGCTTTGATCTAGTTGTTTGATTATGCTTAAGTTTACAATACATATTTAAAACAACTATTTTTACAAACCTATATATCTTCATCCATAGATCTATTCTAAAACTTATGAAATTCTTTGAAGTATAAATCATTTTTTGTTTTACAAACACTAAATCCACCTAAAACAGTCCTAACTTTGCAAAGCTTTCACAAAGTTATTATTTACTCAAATCATTCAAAAATTAATGCTTAAAGAAATTCTATCAAATTTTCTTCTTAAATCTACTCTTTTAGTAGCAAAAAGAACCAAAATTGTTGCAGATAAGCAATTTTGTGCCTTGGAATTCGGTTCCTATATTTATTCACAACTAATCTTCTATAGATATTAATCTAAGATTGTTCTTGGTAAATTTTGTTAAAAGATATTTTTTACTTTTACCTAAATATGTCTATATATATATATATATATATATATATATATTTTTTTTTTATCTATATTTTTTCTTATTAATAGCTATATAAGTAAGTAAAAATTCTTTTTACTAAAAAAATAGTATTAATAATAAATATATTATTATCATTATATCTTTAATTTGTGTCTTTTTGAAGTAATTGTTTTGCACAATATGATTTCTATTCAAAGAATTATGTTTGTAAACCATATGGATTCAAAGAAATAACTTTGTCTTTGAATATGAAACATAGAATGACATCTATGTAAGAACCTTGATTTTAAAAGAATTAATAGAATATGGACAAATTATGTAGTCAACTTTAAAGAAGAAAATTTAAAAGCACCTTAATAAAGAGGCTGCCTTTCTTAGAAGTTAGAATAATTCTTGGATAGAAAAACAACTTCTAAATACTAGAAAAAATCAAAAAGTAAAATAAAATTTTAGAATATAATAAAAGGCTTGATTATACACAAAAATATAAATCTTAGTTAATAGTTACTTTACTTAGGATGCTTATTTTGTCTCTTTGATATTGGAACTAATAGCTTAATTCTTATACCATGATATATCCTATAAATACATCAACAATAGCTTATTTTTGTATCAAATATATATATATATATATATATATATATACATATAATAGTACTTCATTTAATGCCCAAGTTTTTAGATCTAAGGTCCTTAATAGAAATAATTTCTAATTCCAAGGTTATTTTTAATTAATGCATCATATATATATCCTAATTATATACATACATACATACATACATACATACATAAATTTAGATCTAAATATTTTTGAATTTTTAAAATGGTCTTTGTAATGGAATTCTAAATGAAGGGTTGAAGATGAACTCTAATAAGGTGTTTTGTGGTTTTCATAGCTTCTAGTCCAAAAGAAGATAGACAACTCCTTTGTATGTTTTGCAATAGCATGTGGCCATAAATCAATTCTTTGATGCAAAAGAACCATTATAGCATATCTATATCAAATGCTAAGATGTTACCATTCATAAAATATGTGAATGTTATTTAATTTGTTTCCAATCTATTATATAAAACAACTTTAATATAATTCAACGAGACAAAAAAATCTTTTGATTGGTCGCTGTCATTCCTCCATCTCTTTTATTCCCTCCTCCATTCCTCCACTACCCAGGTTTTACTGAAATTCTAAATCTCCACGTGCTTCTTTCCTTCGTTAATTCGATACTTTTACATTCAGCGTGACTTGCACGTCAAACACTGCATCCCCACACGCCTTCGCAACAGAACTTCTGTATCAAACTCCACAATCACATCCACAATCACATCATGAGGACTATTTTGGAAATCAAAAAATTTCTAGGCCTTATTTTGATATGTCAAAATTTGTCAGGCCTGTTTGCGATGAATTCCCAAAAAACTTAAATAATTGTCCACGAGAAATAGGTTCATCACACTAAAAGTCAAAGCCGGCACAGAATGACAGCAACGCAATGCCCAAGTACAAGTTGCTCGCGGCTCAAATTCCTTGCTAAGTCTGCCTCGATGCTGGCGAGCATCTGGACAAATTCTTAAATAGCATGGGAGCAAGCACAAGATTCATCTTCGGGACGGAAGGTCGTATTTGATGCTTGTTTTCTACCTGATGAGAGAGCCCAAAGTTGCGTTGGTAGCATTCTCCAACGATATTTGTATCGAACCATGATGGATTCAGCGAGCTACTCCGCACCTTTCGCAGCGTTATGGGACACATTTGGACGTGGCACAGTTGTAGCTGTGCTTGTTGTAGTGGTTGTTGGGGAGCTGCTGCTGTATGCGCGTTTTCAAGCTCAGCGGCGAAGCACTCTTCCTCCTGGGCCTCGACCTTGGCCAATACTGGGGAACTTTTTCGTATTTTCAGATGTCAATCATGCCCATCATGATCTCCGGAGACTTGCTGCCAAGTTCGGACCGCTCATGTATCTTCAATTGGGTGTGTCTATCTATCTACCTAGCAAGTGCAGTTTTGTGTTTCGGTTTCGATTTTAATTTTGGGAGTTTTGGTCTGGTTTTTTAGACAGATAATGACGGATTACTTGTATGAACATTTTGTTTTCTATTGCAGGGTCTGTACCATGCGTGGTGGTGTCTACTGCTGAAGCAGCCAAGGAATTGTTCCGAGGGCACAATGATGAATGTCTCATCTCCCGGCCCAAGATGCTGGGATTAGAAATTCTCTCCGATAACTACCAATTGATGGCATATGCTCCAGCTCCTGGCAAGCTTTGGCACTCTCTACGGAAATTCGGCAGCATGGAGCTATTTTCTTTCAAACGCGTCGCCTTTTATCGATCCTTACGTGAAGAGGAGCTTCGTCACTGGATAAAATTCGTCCTGGAATCGAGGGAAGGGGAAGCCATGAATTTGAAGAGCTGTGTTTTCGAACTGGCGGCTAACATGATGACGCGAATGCTGGTAAACAAAAGGTCATGACTGTAAATTTAGATGAGCCGCCTCAACCCGTGCCAACCTCAGTTCTTTTTGGAATGCCGCGAATACGCCTTGCAAAATAATCCATTGCAATCCTGACGCAGGATGTTTGACATAACGGGAGCAGACACTCAACAGCAGCTTCTGAGGAGCGAATTCGAGAGCTTCATGGAAGAGCATTACAAATGTCTCATGCCCAATGTAATCAGTGATTTCTTGCCTTTCCTTCGCTTTTTCTGTGAGAAGTTGCAGGGATGGCGTGCTTATATTCAGGATCATCAGGAGAAAAGCGTAGAATTTTGGACAAGGATTATAGAGGTGGAGAAGCACAGGCAACGAGCCGCAGAAAGACAAAATGATGGCAGCTATGTCCCGGACTTGGTAGACTTCATGTCCACGGCTCCTCTTGATGACGGCAAAGTCTTGTCGGACAGGAATATCACATTGCAAATCTTGGTAAGCAGGTCTCTTCAATACATCCTTATCACCATCTCTTGCATTCACATCTCACCATGCATTCACAAAAACTCACCTGGACGGTGCAGGACTTCTTTCTTGGTGGAACAGATACGACTCCTTTAACTTTAGAGTGGGCTATGGCTGAGCTGGTGACTCACCCGAATTTTATGAAGCGAGCTCAAGAGGAACTTGACCGCGTGGTAGGCTTGGAGCGACTGGTCGAAGAAACCGACTTTCCTAACCTGCCCTTCCTCCAGGCGATCGTGAAAGAAACCTATCGCCTCCACCCCGTCGGACCACTGGGAGGACCGCGAGAGTCAACAGAACCTGTTGAGGCTCTCGGATACAAAATCCCAGCGAAGACGAGGGTCATCCTGAACATTTTCGCCATCCACCGCGACCCCGCCGTGTACGAACGCCCGGACGAGTTCGACCCAACCCGGTTTCTCGACCGCCACCGCAACGTGAATCCGTTGGCGGCGTTTGACTCATACGAGCTGATGCCATTCGGCGTCGGCCGGCGAATGTGTCCCGCTTTCAATCTGGGCAACACGACGGTGCACCTGATACTCGCGAACTTGATACACAACTTCGACTGGGCTCTGGCCGACGGCCAGAACATCGACACCTTTGACATGACGGAGCGTCTCCACGGCGTCACGTTCAGCTTGAAGTATGCCCTAAGTTTGATTCCGACGGCGCGAAGTGGCATTCTCGCAAGAGCGCTGTGAGAACACGGTGACAAAGTGTTACAAAAGTGGCATTCATTCGATGTTGTAAACACGAATGAGCCAGAACAAGTGGAGAGCGACACTTCGTGAAACTTTGATTCTATGCTGGACAAATCGAACCGAAGTTTCATGAATCCACCGCATTATGGAACAATGGAGTCACGCGTCGACAAGATTGCGAGCATGCGAGATATGATATCTGGTGTTGACTCGATGCAGTTGGGGACTGATTGGCGCAGCATTACACTTAAATTATACTCTCTTGCTGTGTACCATCGACCTTAGTCGATTGAAGAACATTAAACGTTTCAAATACATATGTTACAGATATTATCACCGTGTCGGACTCATTGTTGAATGCTACTGTTCTGTGCTATAACATGGAACTGGTGCATTAGATGTTGTACCAGAGATCATCTTTATCTGTTCTTTACTAAGATCCCATGCTCTCTGGATTTCATTATCACTAACTCTACCACCAGTGATAAGATGGTGATATTATGTCGGACAAAACAAGGGATGTGACTTAGGAGAATGTATCATGTGTGAATCAAACTCATGACTTGCAAATATGTAGTAAGTCTTGCGTCATTTGGTTGCACATCGAGTAATTCTGTTCACATTATTATTGTTATTATCATAACTGCTGTTGTTTATCTCTCGTTTTTCAAAGTAACAATGCTTGTATTGTTGGGCATATAAACATCCAAGGGAATATAATGCTTCACTTTAATAAATCGTATTTTAATTTCTCCAGTTGATTCTGTATTGATATCATTGCATATCTATTCACTTTGTAAAGCACCACCTTTTCAATTTTAATCATTCATTTCAAAGTTGTATGTACACATGTGTGTGTATGTATCTATGTAAGAAATGACATTTTAGAATTAGGAGACAAGGGGAGAATATTAATTTTTAATTTTTTTGATTGGTTGAAATCAAGAAGCATGTTTAAGTTGGTTTTATATTTAGAAAAATAAATCCAAAGGTACTAAGAGGAAAAAATGAGGTAGAATGAACTCTTTTCCTACATGAACTGAGTAGCATTATTTTTCAAAATTTCCGTTGAGTTTGTCTTAGAGAATTGGTTTTAAGAAAAGAAAACCAAGAAGCCATGTCAAAAAATACTTAAAATAATCATTAAAAATAGAAAACATATTATTTATACATCTCATAATTTTTTGAATTAAGATATGAGTTGACATATTTAAACTTGTTATAATAGACTCATATAGTCTATTTAATAGCCTCTTTTTAACTTATAATGGATCTAAACCAAAAAGCTTCAAAAGAAAGACTTTTCTTTATTAATCAAGGAACCTTGGTAAAGCTTTTGAATTGAGGACTTTTAAAGTATGCTTCTAGGTGTAAAGTGTCTCTAAGCACACAATAATTCCATAAAAAAATACATAGGTTTTATAAAAAAAAAATTAAAATAGAAGTAATATATATATATATATATATATATATAAAATAATTCTTTGCAAAAATATATGACCAAACAAAAATTATATAAGTAACTATGATTTAGTTTTTTCTATGTTGTATTAAAGTACATATCTTTTTGGTAGGATTTTAAGATATATTATTTCTATTTATTTTTATTTATACTTTCATTTTTATAGATAAATTTAATGTACTCTAGAGACTCACATTGAGATAGAAGCACATACAATTTGTCACAAATATTAAAGTTGGATTTGATTTAACTTAGAATGAATTTAAACATCATCTATAAATTTCGATTTTGTATTAAGTTCTAACATTAGGATTTAATTGAAATATATATATATATATGTGTGTGTGTCTGTCTCTGAGTGTGTGTATGTATGTTGTGGTCACAACATAAAGAAAAAGAAGGACAAGAAACAAAAAGAGAAACAAAGGTGATAAATAGAGAGTTGAATCATATATTCAAAGAATAAGAGTCTTAAATAAGTGAGAAGTTCTAGTATAGATGATATTAAATTTCATTCTAAGTTAAAACAAAGAATTTTTTAAGAGTGTTAAAAATATTATTAGAGATCTAAGTCTCTCACTCTAAAAGAATAATTGGTAACAATATTTAAATTAAATATCAAATATTCTTTAATTTAGATTAGTTGATTAATACTTCATATTTAGTTTTATTGGAAGTCCAAAAATACTAATTTTAATAATTATTGTGTAGTGATTTGTTGGTCTATTAAAGGAAAATAAATAAAAACTGGAGTTTTTTTTTTCCTAAATAGATAAAATTTTCTCTTAAATCTCTTTTGATTGCACATAATCAACATAGAAAATTCAATTTTCTATTAGTTTGTTTTAAAATTTTAACACAAGTCCCTCCAAAGGCAAACTACCTAGTTGCAAAGGCCTTCAGCTTTGATCACATAATGATACATTGTTTCCAGAAAAAGATGGGTTGAAAAATCAGTCTTAAATAATACAAGAAGTGCATCAAAGTCTCCATATTTTAAATTATGTACAAAGTTTTCTTAGGAATCACAAAGAAATGAAGTCTTCTCTTTCTTATTCAACACACACAGTGGTTGAGTTGCACACCCGGGAATGGGAGTGGTTCCAATGGTGCCATGAGAACAAGAACAAGCTGGACTGTGCCAGCTAATCCCAGTCAATACTTCCAAACGGGCTTACATGGAAGCTTTCTTCCGTTGCTCTCCACAACTCGTGCTCGACGCTGAGGATAGACTCCGCGAATATGGAACTGTCTTGCGGTGCAAGAGAATCCGTGGGTCGAATCTTGCATTGTGGTTTTCTTTACCTGATTGCTGTGCATGAAGATTCTGAGGGGACCAGTTCAAGTGAGCTTGTGATTCTCAACCTTTTATAGCTCTTAAGAATAGAAACTAGAAGAAATCGAATCTGAAGCATTAGTGTTGACACAAGCAATGCCAAACAGCACGACTGGTATCAAACAGCAAACGCATGCCAGTTGGATTCCTGAAGCTACTGTAATTCCACAGATGAGCGAAAGGCCGGAAGAGCGAGGAATCATGCGGAATTGAGTTGCTTCGTCAACCTCAATTTGCATCACCCAGAAGCATGGACTCGTCGGAAGAATTAAAAGTAGGATGTGTAGTCGTGTAGATTTTGCAAAAACGTTCATTTTTTGCATAAAAAAGCCTGCGCTGCGATTGATATCTGCCTGCATGATACAACTTCAACTCGGGCTTAAGATCAAACAATCTGGGGGAACAATATTTGGAAGATACACTTTACTTCATAATTCGGAAGGTCAAAAACTGTCTAGAAAACCAAAACGTTCCCGATTACATGCACATCCAGCAAAACTCTGATCGTTATCGTCGCTCTTAAACACCGAGCTAAGTTCCTCTTTCACAGGAAAACAATCACTTGATGTACTGGGTCATCCACTTGAAACCTTCACCGTACCCCATTTTGCGCACAATACTGCACATGAAAACCTCAATGGGCCGAATGTTGCTATCTCCCAGGTTCACCGTTCCTTTACCAGTGGTCATGGTCAACCCAAGTGTGAACCGCAACTCGTCTTCAGAAGAAGCGTACGGGATATCAATCTTGTTTCCCAGGACGAGCACAGGAACTTGGGACAGAGAATCGTCGGAGAGAAGAGAATCGAGCTCTTTCTTTGACTCAGCAAATCTCTCCCTGTCTACTGCGTCGACGAGATACACTATAGCATCCACCTGCACAAGTATGATAGATTTACAGTCTTAAAATTCCACTCTGACAGACCACAAACCATACAATCACAGCACATCTGTAACGAATCCTGATCTGAAAATCTGTTAAACAAAGAATTAAGTCTAGGGCTAGAGGCGCAAAAACTATGGTTTTGAAAGGAAGGACGTGGCTTAATATCACGGCTAAAGATCGCTAGCAGCAGAGACAGGGATGGTAGGGATGGGATAGGGAACCTTAGCATAGTAGTCCCTCCACACGCGTCGAGCGATTGTGTGGCCACCCAGATCGAATGCTTTGAACTTCACTCTGTTGATACTCAACTCCTCTGACGTTGGATACTGCGTTGGTTGATGTTGCCCCAGTTTCTGTATACAAAAACCTAATATGAGCCACCCGGCACAGTGGATAGTAGAAAAACTAAAAGTTGCAGCAGCAGCATCAACTCCATATCATCCCCGAGACCTAATTTAACCACGTGATACACTCCAGTCGATAGGCTGATGGAAGTCGTAATCTCTTGCAGAGGAAGAGTGAAGGTGCATCAAACATTAAGCGATGTCGGGAAAACAAGTCACTTGCAAACTACTCAGACGCTACTTGAATGACCTCCCATTAGAACAGCTTGCGCAAATCAGAACCTACGCAAACAACACGTCGCTAGCAACGGATACGTTATCGATTCTAGAGGCGAAAATTTGGTACGCTATCAACCGCGAATTGAAATTGACCAAGCAGGAATCAAAACAGAAAAGAGAGTCTAACCTCATCCTTGAGCATGTGCAGAAGAGTAGTCTTGCCAGCATTGTCGAGACCCAGAAACAGGATTTTGGCCTCCTTCTGCCACAGCCCTATGCTCGCAAGAAAGCCGTAAAACCAATCTACAAGAAACATGGTACCAGCCTTGGTATCTACGGACCCGCCCCAATTTTCCACGACGCCGAGCACCCACCACCCGTTGGCCTAAACCCTCACTGCTTCGACGATCTTCGATGCAAACCCAAACAAACAATCCCAAACTGCTGAAACGCAAAACCCCACCCCACTTCAAAAAAACCAAATTACCCTCCAAAACTTGCAAAATCTTTCCCGAGTCTGCTGCTTCAAACTGCCCACCTTAAGCCACCAGCATCCAATTTTCTACAACGCCATTTTCCTAGACTAATCAACAAGCTCCGCACACACGCGGACAGATCCAGCAAAGCTTGCACGAGAGCTCTCGTGAATGTGTCGGGGGCTGACAATTTAGCAGTAGATCCGATCAAAATTGGTCTCTTGTCCATTTTTCAAAATTGCTGACCAGTCGGAGACCCAATGATTCGGCGAAACTCGGGGCTGTGTGGCCGGCAGTGGTTGGCGCGACCTGCTCTCTTGCTGACATGGCGTGGTCTCAGTGGTTGGGTGACAAAGCTGGAGTCCAGGTCAGCGATGGCACTGCTTTTTACTTTATGGGAATTCGTTCTTTTCCTTTGGCTTAAAGTAAAAGGTTTCGTGCAACGGGGTCGTATTCTGAACCTTAATGAAAAATGTGGTACAATGATTCTATTATGAAAGGCCTTGGGTGTGAAACATATTTGCACATAGTAGGTTTTTTTTGGATGATAGTTTCAGAATTTTTTCAATAATTTTTTTCGTACCAAATGCTTAACAAAAACATAAAAATGCCTAAATTTTCTGTATATGATTGCCTGGTTTTGTTCTATTGAATTGTTTGTCTTATTTTATTTTTGCAAATAAATAATATAAAATTAAATTAAACACCAAAATAAAATAGAAAGTAAATAGTGGTTCACTTTTATAAAAAAATATGGATTTATTCATTTATTTATTTATTTATTTATATATTTATTTTCATTAAAGTCAATACTTTCAAACCATATAACAAAGACAAATATGGATTTTAGTTGTAAAGAAAAACATGGCACAAAATATTAGTTAGGTATCATTAACTCAAATTATTATGAGACATATGTATCTACAATAAGATTTATTTTTCTAATACATATCCATAAATATATATATATATATATATATATATATAGCCAAACAATTTATCTTTTAGATTTCAAAATCTAAATTCTGTAAGTAAGCAATGAATAGATATTGCAAAGAGAAAAGAGACCTCAAAATAAATCGATCATTTTTTTTTTGACTTGAATCAATTAAAGTTGTGCATACATTTTATATGTATTTTTTATAATTTCTCTACAAAGTATTTATAAGAATATATAGTTTAACAAAAAAAACTAAAGAAGTATGTTATATATTTTTTAATATAATAAATATAAAAATTGGATTATTCTTAAATAATATATCAACTAAAATTAATTACATATTGATCTTGACTTCTATTACTATTCTAATAAAAAGATTACATATTTTAAATTCAAAACTTGAATACTTTCTATTAACAAAGATAACCAATAATTTATAAAGTTAAAATTTAAAATGGATTATATAAAAAAAATAATATATAAAAAATTATTTTTAAATTTATGAAATTCAAGTTAAGATGTAATAATATGAATATGGCTAATTATAACAAACTATTTTATATAACACTACATACAAATAATTATTTTAGCTATATGTATGTATAGATATATATATATATATATATATATAGACTCATATACATAAATTATTATATAAATTAAAAACATATAAAAAATATTATTATTTATATTTAGTAGATATTAAAATATATTAATATTAAAATTTATAAAAATAATTTATTAATATCTAAAAGTTTGCATAATCAATAATGGTACTTTTTGGTTTTGATGAAATAGATTATACAATTTATATAAAAATAGATCTACAAAGAGTATATAATCTAGTACGCATTAAAGAAAGAGATGAATGGAAAACTACATTTCAAACTAAGTATGAGCTTTTTGAATATAATGTCATGACTTTAAGACTCATGAATGTGTCAGTTGCTTTTTAACATCTAATAAATGATGTCTTTTGCAAGTTTCTCAATTATTTTTCATCAATTATTTAAATAATATCTTGATCTACTCTAAGACCACAAAAAAACATGAAGTTCATGATTTTGTAGTGTATTACAAAAACTAAGAAATGCAAAATTATACGCCAAGATAATATATATATATATATATATATATATATATATATATATATCACATTATTTTAGTTGATTTCGTGTAATATATTATTTCCAACAAAGGATTAATAATGGATCTTAAAAAGGTCTACACTATCATAGATTAAAAGGTCCTAAAAAACAATCAGAGATGTGCAATGTTTTTGAAATTTGCTAATTATTATTGAAACTTTATCAAGAACTTTTTTTAAGTTGTGGCTCCTCTTACACATGTGATATGTAAAGACAAATTTAAATGGAATAAAGAAATTGAAATATCTTTTTAACCTTGAAGAAAATATTTATTTTTGTACCAATTTTTTATTGCGTTGATTTTTCAAAGTCATTTTTCATAGGAAAAAAATACATCAAACTTTTCTATAGATATTTTCTCACAAATGAAAGTAAATGATAGCTTAATTTAGAAGTTTTTTATTCTAGAATATTTTCAACAGCTTAGATTAACTATGAGATTCATGATAAAGAACTTCTTACAAATATGGATTCATTTCAAGAATGGCATCACTATCTAGAAGGTGCTTTTAATTTAGTCGCTATATATATATATAGATTACAAGAACCTTCACTACTTCATGTCAATACATGTTTTGAATCATTATCAAGTTTATTAGAACATGTCTTTATCAAGATTTGATTTCAATATTACTTATCAATTCAAAAAAAAACAAAGTTTATTAGATACTCTTTCTAAATATTTTTAATTTGCAAAAAAAAAAAAAAAAAGAAAAAAAAAAATACAGCTTTTGATCAATAAAGAATGATTCTCTTGAAGCTATAGCATTTTTATCTTTAAGCAATAAAATCAACATTGAGTATTGATTCAATCTTTATCAAGCAAATTCAATTAAGTATGTTCTTTAATCCTCTTATTTATGATATCAAGGATAATTCTTCTAAGTCTCATAATATATCTAAGTTTGAATTCAAAAATAATCCACTTTATTTCAAGGAACAATTATATATTCCAGATATTGAAACATAATTATATGTTCTTCAAGTTCGTCATGACTTTCCAACAATTGGAAATTTTAAATATAATAAGTTTTTAGAGCTAATATCTAGAGATTTTTTATGGCCTAAAATGTGAAAGGTAATTAAAGACTTTGTACAATCATGTGATATTTATTCAAGCTTAAAAATTCCTCGTTATTGATCTTATGGACTATACTAGCTATTACCTATTCTAGAACAATCATAGTCTTTTATTTATATGGATTTTATTACAAATCTTTTAGTCTTAGATTGGTATGATTCTATATTTATAATAGTAGGTTATTTTATCAAGATAGAACATTTTGTATCATATACAAAATCTATTACATATGAAAAAATATCTAAGCTTTTTTTTGACAACATTTATTGTAATCATGGATTGCTCAAAGATATTATATTAGATAGGAAGACTCAATTTGTATTAAGATTTTGAAGAATCTTTTTTAAAATTCTAAAGATGGATATAAAGCTTTCTTTGGCTTTTCATCCTCAAATTGATGGATCAACAAAATGGATGAATCAAGTTTTGAAGGAATAATTGAAGTGCACCATCAACTATCATGAAGATGATTGAACAATTTTTTTGCTATTGGCAAAGTTTGCATATAATAATTTGGTACATTCTTCTATTCAACAAATACCTTTGTTTATCAATTATGATTATCATCTATAACTTGATATTTTTGACTTTTTTAAAATTGATAATCCTAAAACAAAAGATTTTATAAATTATTTTTCAAAGCTACATGCAATAATAAAAGCATAATTAAAGGAAGTTCAAAAATGAAAAAAGATCAATGTAAATGCCTATCACAAGGAAAAACCATGATTCAATGTAGATAATAAGATATGGTTATTTTGTTATAATATTAAGACTATTTTTTCTTATGACAAGTTGAACTATCATAGGCTTGGACTTTTTTTCATTTGTGAACAAGTCAATCTTATTGCTTATTGATTACATCTATCAAAGTCTATAAAAATCTATTCCATATTTCATGAGTTTTTTTTTAAGCTATATGAAACATAAAATATCTTGAAAAAAAGACAAATGCCACCTTCTTCTATAAAAGTGGATAATAATTAAGAGCTCAAAATAGAAGAAGTTTTTTATTCAAAGCAATGTCAAAATAAATTAAAATTTCTTATTCATTGGCATGGATATGGTATCGAATAAATGCACATGAAAGCCAACAAAAAATCTTATAAATATAACAAAGAAGATTGAAGCTTTTCATCAACAATATCCATCAAAACCAAGATAAAGATTAGTAAATTTTTTTTATAAAAGAAATAAGATCCAAAAAAAATAATATTCTATCTTCTACTATTGTTTGGTACTTTTATGTATTTGTGATATTATAGAGATGGAGAATCAATAACCAACACATTTAACTCAAGAGCTATCACTGATTGACTTTTTTGATAAGACATTATGATTGTCACAATCGTTAAGACAAATACAATTTGCCACATCTTAGATTTTGTCAACATATGTTGACCACTCTTTGTGGAATTCATCTTTAGAAGGGAGGACAATGTCACGGATATATATATCTATTATGATATTTAACTATATGATTAAATAGAAGTAGATAAAATTAGATTTATTTCATAATATTTTTTAAAGTAGCTTCTTAGAAGCTTTATAAATGCTACTTTGATTTTACACGTATTTGTAGTTGATTGATAGGTTAAAAATTTGGTTAAAAAATCAACCACATATTGGTGGCTTATAAAACAAGCTAACTATATATATATATATATATATATATATATATATAAACTTGCTTTGTAAGTTAAGATGCATGTCTTTTAAAGTCAACACATTTTAGAGATTTTATAGGACATTGCCATATAGCTCCTAGTTAAGAGTATATATAGAGGCAAGAGTGAAGCCTTCTTTACTCTTGTCAATGCTTTTTTAGTTCTTCATCTTATTTCAAGACTTTCTAGTTTTCTAATCTTTTGCAATAGCTATTCTAGTTTAATAACATATCATCTCAAGTAATTTTGTAGGCTTTTTGAGTGACATAAGCGTATATTGAGGTTTTTTTTCTTTGAGTTTCATATTCTTGACAAATATTTTTGAAACTTTTAATGAAAGATTGGATGGCTTCAATATTATTATCTTTTATT